TACCGAGTCTAATCACTAAACAAATAAATTAAAGTTACATTAAAAAAATCAAATACTGAAATCAAAATTAATAACAAACATGAATAAAATAAATTCAAGGTTAAAATTAAATTAATTAAAATAATTACAGAAAAATTTAAAAATATTAAAATCTAAATATAAAACGAACAAACATGCATAAAATAAATTCAAGATTAATATATATTAAAGATAATTTAAAATATAAATTAAATATTAAATAATAAGCATGTATAAAATTAAAAATTAAAAGTAAGACGCTTTTATTTTTTTGGCTCGAGTCGCGCAAGTCCAATTTCAAAAGTTTTTTTTTTTTTTTTGGACCGAGCTGGATCGAAATCAGTTCACCCTAATTATACATGGGTTGGGCTAAACTCAACCCACATCATTTTATTAAATCCAAGCCTAAAAACACAACCCAACCCCTTTTTAAAATAAATCTTGCATCAAAACCCTAATTTTTCTTCTTTCTTTCCTTCCTCGACTCGTTCTTTCTCTTTTTCTTTCTCTTTCCCCTTTTTTTCTTCTTCTTCTTCCTAATCTCCCAAATCTCTCTCTCACCATAGATGAACCAACAATGATTCGTCTTTCTTTTTTCCTCTCCCCTTCTCTTTTTTTTTCCTTCCTTTCCTCTTCTTCCTCTTTGTCGAATCCTCTCTCTCTCCTTTTTTTTTTTGTTTATTCTTGTTGAACTCGCCATGGACGAACCAGAACCGATTTGTCCATGGTCTCCCTCTTCTTTCCTTCTTTTCTCTTCCATTCTTTCTTTTCCATCTCCAATCAAAAATCCCTAAATCAATTATTCAAAACCCTAACTCAAATCAATTTTCACCGAGCCTTAAATTTTCAATTTTTTAAAATTTTCTTTCAATCGGTCATAATTTCCATTCCCTAACCCAATTTCAATTAAATTTCAAAAAATCTTCAAATTTCGTAACAAAACCTAAATTGACAATAAAATTTGAAATTAAGGAAATTACCTAGTAAAATTGATTGAAGACGATATGGATTGCAACTTCGGTTCAAGTAAATTCGATCTTTCTCCCTTTTTTTGTTTCGATTTTTCTTATTTTTTTTAACCACTCGTCAATTTCGAAAATCCTTTTCTCTTAGACTAACTAACTCTGTTTATGTTTGTTGTTGTTATTTATTCATGTAATTATGCTTGGTTTTCCACCATGATGGTATGAGATTTTTTTGTCACTTGCTAGGTGCTCGGTTCTCCACCATGATGGCATGAGATTTTTTGTTATAGGATATGGTGTGAGGTTGGTTGTGGCGGTAATAAGGGGTGGCTACTGCGGTAGGGGGCGAGCTGTGCAAGGTGAGATTGTGCTACCGTATAAGGGGAAGTCGAAATGAATGTAAAAAGAGAGCAAAAGTAATGATGGTAGTATTGTAATTAGAAAAGCAAATAAGGGGTCTAAATTAAAGAGACACCGTTGTATGAACAGTCGTCGTCCACGATAATTTGTATGGGGGTGAGCGAGTCTCACCCCTACGTCTTTTAGAGTCTTTTGTAATATGATAGGTTGTTAGAAAGCTAGTTATGTAACTAATTCCTAGGAGTTAGTTAGCTAGCTCTATCACTTGTATAAATCTTGTGAGGGAGTATTTTTCATTCAAGCAATCAAACTTCAAAAATTCGATTCTTAAGAATCTATCTCCATTCTTTATTTTTTTTTGGTTAAGAAATCTATTAATCTCTCAAAAAATTGATATCGAGCCCTTTTGAGTCAAATAGCCATCGACAATGATAGATAGACACCGAAAGAACAAAACAAGAAGCAAGATGAGCGGATTTAAGGAATTCATCAAGAATTTATAAAAAGCATCGAAAGCATTTGTAAGATCAAAAATAATAAACGTGGTTGCGGTTTGAAGCTTTGACGATGGCAATTAAGATGACTATGGTGGAGAAAAAACCAAAGAATGAGCAAGCTTGCACTCTTATTAATGGCTTAATTCCTACTCCTAAATATCCGAATCATGGTGAGCACACTCTTCCTAATGATTTATATAAATCTATCTATAATGCGAGTAATTTCTAAAGTAGAGTGGGTTAATCGAATCAAACATTCCTCTACTCTTTTGATTTTCTTAATGTGACTCATGTATTTTTTTTTTTATTAAACTCTCTATGTACTTTTTATTTTTTATTTTTTAACATGACTCATTTGATTGTTTTTCGATCAATTTTCAATTTGGAATTGACACCTAACACTAAAAAACAAATTCATGAGCATGCTATATGAGATTAATTTGTCATGTGCGAATTTTTTTTTAAAAAAAAACCCTAAAAAATTAGTTAAAAACTAGAAAACAAAAAGAAATAGTAAATTAACACTCAACTCGTTCACACTCTCTCCAAACGATTGTAGTTTTTATTTCTCCATAGTCCAAATGCTTATAACACCACGCAAACCTCCATGGTGTTAAAAGTGGTTGTCCATCTAAAAAAACTAAGAAACAATAAGCTTTACTTCAAATTGCTAGTTTGAGCCTTTGGTGCTATTAGAATTTTGTTATTCTTTAACTATACATACACTACTTGTTGCTAGTCACTTCGCCTTTAAAATAGGACTTCTTCTCAAGTTTTGCCCAATTTTTGTTTTGGCGAATGCCTTGTTGAGAGTCCATTTTCCATTTGTTTCTTCTCGGTTAATAGTCCGGATCTTTTTTTATTACTACTAGGATTTTATTATTCTTTAATTATATGTACATTACTTGTCGTTGATCATTTTGTCCTTAAAATAGGGCTTATTCTCACGCTTTTGCTCGGTTATTGCCTTAGTGAGTGCTTTGTTGAGAGTTTATTTTTTGTCTTTTTCTCTATAGGTATCTTTTTGGATTGTTCTTTTATTACTACTAAAATTCTATTATTCTTTAACTATCCGTATACTATTTGTTGTTAGTCACTTCACTCTTAAAATAAGACTTCTTTGCATGTTTTTGCTTAGTTCTTGTCGCAATGAGTATCTCGTTGATAGTGCATCTTTCGTTTGTTTTTTCTCAATTAATTGTTTGGATTGCTCTTTTATTGTTACTAGAATTTTATTATTTTTTAACTACATATACACTACTTGTTGTCAGTCACTCTATCCTTAAAATATGACTTCTTTTAACATTTATGCTTAGATCTTATCTTGGTGAGTGCCTTGTTGAAAGTTCATCTTCTCGCATATTTCTTCTTAGGTTGTAGAAGGAGTTCTTGCATTTTCGTCTTAGCTATGCTATTGAAACAATGAGTTTGTTGGGCTTAGTACATCAATGATGGCCTTTTTTTGAATATAATAAATACAATGAATTTTTAAGTAAAGTAAATTAAAGAGGTTTAAAAAGAACCAATTAAAAAACTTGGTGGGTTTTATCTATCTTTTCTATTCAATTTATTAGGCTCATGCATATAATAAATTTGGATATAACAACCATACTTATTTATTTATTTTTTTTAGTGAAATATAACTCATGTTAAAGTTTTGGATATTATGGATTTTCATGGAAAAAAATTGTGAAAAAAGAATAAGAATACATCCGAAAAATTTTATAATACTCAAGGATAACCAAGTGTAAATTACTTTATAGAGAGACAGGCACACACAAAAATAATAATAATAATAATAATAGAGAGAGAGAGAGAGAGAGGGAAATAAGAAAAAAAAATTTTTTAAAAAATTGAGCCAATATGAAAATATTCTTATCACTTTTACTGGGTTCGGATGTAATTTTTTTATATGTCTATCTATTTTCTAAAAAATGAGACTATAAAATAACTAATGTGCATATATATTAATTATTCCTCAAGCATTATAAAATTTATCGAACACACCTAATATTTGAAGAAGTGGAAAAACAAAAGGAAGAAGAAAAGCCACATGGCATTGAAGTACTTACAAAATTATCAATATGGTCATAAAAAATGGAAAGTAATAACAAATCTGTCTCTATAGTTTGTTAAAATTAATTAAGTAGTTGCTTAACTACTGTTTGTTATTTTCAATTCCGCAGTTGTTTCTTTGCTAATCAAATTTTCTCATTTTTTGCATTCTGTCTTTTTTTCTTAAAAAGAAAAAAAGAAAAAAACTAAATGGAAAAGAGTTTAACCCAGTAATTAAGTTATATACTAACTTAAAAATACATAAATTAAATATAAATATAGATTTTTTTGTTCGCATATAAATATATAATTCTTGAAACTCAAGAATTAATTAATTAGTTTTATCAAACTACAGGTATGAATTATAATTATAATTATCATTTTTATACGAGTTATGATGAATTCTTGCTGTCGAATAACTTTCCAACTGAGATACATCTCATAATCACAGGCTTTATACATCTTACAAAGATTATGGATGAATTAAAGATTCTTGGGACCTTGTAATATCAGCTAGAGTTTTCCCACCTCCAGCCAGCCACCCCTGGTTCTTTTTTTTTTTTTTTTTTTTGACAAAAAGCACATTAAAATTATTGTGGAAATGTTTCTTATCTCACCCATGTTACACCGCCGTATAAGTTAACAGTCACTGTCACGTCCTATCCGGTGTTTGTTTAACCGAATCAACCAACCCCAACGTTTTTAGTTTTTTTTTCCTGTAAAAGTTGGAAAAAGAAAATTAAAAATCAAAAAATCAAAAAACGCCGCCGGCCAGTACAGTACAGCTCAAGCTGACTAGCCAAGCCAGCAAAGCCTCACTCACAGCGTTTGACTAGAGCCGAAACCAAAACGAAAATCCACGATCGAAATAAATAGATATAAAGAAAAGAAAAGAAAAGAAAAATAAATACAAATCCAAAGACTAACTTACCCGGTTTAGCTCATTCAAGCCGCGCCACAAAAAAAGACTCTCTCGAGATTAGATTGACGACATGGATATTGGGCTGCTAGTATTTCAGTAATCCGATTGAGCAGAGAAGACGAGTATCTGCTAGTACGGTGCGTGCAGTGAGAGATCTGATCCATTTTGCTTTCTGGGTTACAGCAATGGAGGAAGAGAAAGGAGGAGGTGTGGTAGTGCAAAGTTTGATTGAGACAGTGAACGAGATAGCTTCGATCTCAGATTACAGATGTGCGGTCAAGAAGCAGTATTGCAATCTAGCTAGGAGGTTGAAGTTATTGACACCAATGTTGGAAGAGATTAGAGACAGCAAAGACTCCATCATCCCTCAACAAACTCTCAAAGCTCTTGTTTCGCTCAAACAAGCTTTGGATTCCGCTAAAGATTTGCTTAAATTTGGTAGCGAAGGAAGCAAGATTTACATGGTTTGTATTTCCCTCCCTCTGTTTTTTTGTTAATGATTGTTTTATTCTTTTCTCATTTTGTTTATACATAATGGACGGAAAGTGACTCGATACTGATGCGGATTTGGTGTATGATCCCGCGGAATGACGCTAAAGGATCTATATAGCCGACCCCATTTAGTTTGGGTTTTGAAAAAGTGTCATTTTCATTCATGGATTTTGGGGATTGGATCGCTTGTTTAATGTTGTTTTTGTTCCTACTGGTGTGATTTATCTTGATTCCATCGAGATGCATTTATTCTAGTGTGAGTGATGACTTTGTCTCTTCTTATGTCTTGTATAATCAGCTGTGTCTCTATGGATTTTGTGTCTGTTGAGGAAGTTGCAAGGATGCATGATTCATGGGCTGCAACGATTAAAACATTAGTTTCTTGTGTCACTAGACCTTTTTTAGTGCCTTTTCTGATTCTAGAGACTTAGTTGATGTGATATTGATTTCTTTTTATTGAGCTGCTTCATGGGGTTTTGGATTTTGATCATGAGCACAACTCAGATGAATGTTCTGATACTACAGAGTACAGAATTGATTTCTTTTGGGCGAGTTGTTGTGTTCGAACTTTGTTGTCAAGTTCTTTGTAGTGCAGTTCTATGTTATTTTACAGCATTTTGCTAACCAGTGCTGTTACTTCGATATGGGGGGCTAGAAAATTGTCAATCATGAAAGGAAATGCTGTGGCATTTCAGAATAGGAATGTTTTATGCTAGTGTTTGTGTCTTTTCCATTGCCTACTGCTTTGCATCCAAATATTCAGCACAAACTTGTCTAAAGATTTTCAGCTGATGTGGTTCATTGATTGAATTGTTTTAAGCATTGGAATATTTTGTTTATCTATGCATATGTGTCCACTTCCTCAATCCTAAATGTTACCATGCCTTGGTGTTATTAGACAAAAAGTTCTTTGTTATTCTTATTGCAAATGTAGAGGCAAAATTTGGTGATGTATATTTTATAAACGAATAAGCATTTTTTCCATGGTTCCTATAAAGATACCTAGTGCTTTTTTTTCCCCCAAAATCACCGTGTTTATTTTGTTTTCAGGCCCTAGAGAGGGAACAAATTATGAATAAATACCATGAGGTGACGGCTAAAATGGAGCACGCTCTAAGTGGAATTTCCTATGACAGCCTTGGCATATCTGATGAAGTTAAGGAACAGGTAGAAAATTGTTTGTGTTTGTTTTTATTTGAGGATGTAGATAACCAGGAACCAAACAAGTTAATATTCTGTCCTGTGATATTTGTGATTCTATGTCATATGCGTTGGATAACATCGTGATGATTTCTTGGGAATCATAACCGCCAAAGGAGCTTAGTTAGATACCACCATTTTCTTCTTGACAATTACAAAATTTTGTATTTTTTAAAAATCCTAAGATGATGCAATCACACTTCACTTCAAAACTGCACCTGCTTCCTTTCTAGGATCTGTGGTTTAACAATACTATGAGTGGTCCCGTCAACTCCTTCATCAATTTATCCATGTTATTGTATTTGTTTTGTTGGACATCTGTTTTATTTTTTATTTTATAAAAACGAACTCTGATTTCAGGTTGAGCTTGTCCTTGCTCAATTTAGAAGAGCCAAAGGGAGGGTTGATGCTACCGATGTTGAGCTGTATGAAGATCTCTTGTCCCTTTACAACAAGCCTGATGATTCAGCAACAGATCTAGCTGTCCTAAGAAGATTGTCTGAGAAGTTACAATTGAGGGGCATAGCTGACCTTACACAAGAGTCTCTAGCTTTGCATGAGATGGTTGCTGCCACTGGAGGAGATCCTGGGGAGAGCATTGAGAAGATGTCAATGCTTCTGAAGAAAATTAAAGATTTTGTGCAAACAGAAAACCCAAACTTGGATGCTCCAGCAAGAGAAAAGAATCTTCCCCCATGTGGCAGTGGACAAGCTTTTGTTGATGGAAGTCACAAGACACCAGTTATACCAGATGATTTCCGCTGTCCAATTTCCCTGGAATTGATTAAAGATCCTGTCATTGTTTCAACAGGGCAGGTATATGGATCCTGAATCTCCTACGCTATGGTATCCTAAACAATGGTTGAACTGTAGTTTTTGTTTTTCATGTGTTTTTTTTGTCCGCAATTTGATGAGACAAAGTTTTCCTCCTTTCATCCATCTTCCATTTTTCAACCATGAATATAGAATGTTTACAGAAAGTGCCATATGCTTGGATAAAACTTAATGCATTGAAACAGTTAGGTCACATTGCATCAAGTAATTAGGATCTTCCATTTGATGAGACCACTATTTGAGATTTTGACCCTGAAAGTTAAATCCGAGGAGGATTCTTGTCCTCCATAATCACTTTTAAGTTGCTTTAAAAAGACGGAAACTTGCAAAATGAATCTGAAGGTCTGCTGCTCCACAAATAGGATGGTAACAAACATCTGGGGGATTGATGGCTGGTTGGTCTTTTACTAGATCTCTTGCTTGGTCCTTGCCCTGCATAAGCTCAGCGATTTGTTTATACAGCTTTCTACAACTGTCCTATTTAACATATCTCCTTTGTGTCTGTTATAGACCTATGAACGTTCCTGCATTGAGAAATGGCTGCAAGCAGGGCATGACACATGTCCAAAGACACAACAAAAACTCACCAGTTCTGTTCTGACACCCAACTACGTTCTACGTAGCCTCATAGCGCAGTGGTGTGAAGCCAATGGCATTGAGCCACCAAAAAGACCCAGCAGTTCTGGGTCGAATAAAACTGTATCTACTTGCTCACCTGCTGAGCGTGCAAAGATTGAAATTCTCCTCCACAAGCTCACATCTGGCAGCCTTGAAGACCAGCGGTCTGCCGCTGGTGAGATCCGTCTTCTTGCCAAGCGCAATGCTGATAATCGTGTGGCTATTGCTGAAGCTGGTGCAATCCCTCTCCTTGTGGGCCTCCTCTCAACACCTGACTCTCACACCCAAGAGCATGCAATTACAGCGCTTCTTAACCTTTCTATATGCGAAGATAACAAAGGGAGCATTGTATCAGCTGGGGCAGTTCCTGGTATAGTGCATGTGCTCAAGAAGGGCAGTATGGAAGCTCGAGAAAATGCTGCAGCCACCCTTTTCAGCCTTTCAGTTGTGGATGAAAATAAGGTTACAATTGGTTCTTTGGGGGCAATCCCCCCACTGGTGACACTTCTAAGTGAAGGTACACAAAGGGGGAAAAAGGATGCAGCGACTGCACTTTTCAACCTGTGCATCTATCAGGGGAACAAGGGAAAGGCGGTGAGGGCAGGAGTTGTGCCCACATTGATGCGTTTGTTGACGGAACCAGGAGCTGGAATGGTGGATGAGGCACTGGCCATTCTTGCAATACTGGCTAGCCACCCTGAAGGGAAGGCAACCATTGGAGCTGCAGAGGCAGTGCCAGTTTTGGTGGAAGTCATCAGGAATGGGTCACCCAGGAACAGAGAGAATGCAGCTGCAGTATTGGTGCATCTTTGTTCTGGAGACCAGAAACATCTGGTAGAGGCACAAGAGCATAGAGTGATGGGGCCACTGGTGGATTTGGCACAGAATGGCACAGACCGGGGAAAGAGGAAGGCTCAACAGTTGCTCGAGCGTATAAGTAGATTTGTTGAGCAACAACAGCAGGCTCAGGCCCAAACTGAGGCTCATATCCAGCAGCTTCAGCCTTCCTCCTTGGCTAATTCTGGCGATAGCTGACATTTTTGTTTACTGTTTCATTGATTTGGTTTTTGTTCGTTTTCATGATTCCAAGAGGCAGCTTTGCTTTGGGAGAGGAAAGGTGGAAGATCACCTGCTTCCTAAGTTAATTCATTTGTTTGTGGGACGAGGACTGCTCTTTCAGGAGACGACTCTAGAATCAAGGGGGAATGGAGAATGAAGAGAAAACTCCAAAAATTAATCCATCGTGTATGTGAAATTGTACCATTGTAACATACAATCATCCTCGGTTTTTTATTGAAGAGATGTTTTCTTTACTCACATCAAGTCATACATAAGATTAAGATACCAAAACGATTGATAAAGGAGGGAAATGAAAGAATGAAATGATATGATCTATTTTGCCACAGAATTATGTTGAATTCGTTTTCTTGTGTGTCAATATAATAGCAGTCTAAGTTGTTTCATTAATTGCTCCTTTGCGGCAACGGGATTATATTTCTAATTTTGTTCAGAAGCTCCTCAAGCATGAAGAAAATGTGCTAATCCCAAGAATATGTTCTATTCCTCACTTGAGGGTAGGATCTATACCTTCATCCAGAAGTTGAAAGTGTAATGACACTGAAATAATCTAGCACGAGCATATAAATAAATCATGTGAAATTGTGAGGAAAAAATTGAAAATACATGGTGAAACTCAAAAATTATCTGCGGTAGAAGCTCCTAGTCCCAGGGGAAAGCAAAGCCATGGCAAGTACTGAGGCTGAGAGAACAAAGGAGCATGGTATTTCCAGACGCTGGATTAACATGCACCCATTTGCAGCCAAGCTATGGAAATATCGACTGGCATTTGCATCAATAAGTTCCAGATTCTTTGAAAAGAATCGATCTTGCTTTCCAAAACCTCTGATCGTCATGGATTCAGCTAGGTGGTTCACAGCCAAAGATCAATAGTCGTGCCATTGATTTGCGTAAGCTCTGTCGTCGTACTGAAGCAGTAATATCTCTGCATGTCAGATTGGATATTTGAGAAGAAGATTTCTATCAGGTAAGGCGCTAAACTTTGTCCACCAAAGTTTACCATTCTGCCATCCATCAATGGCGCCTTTCATAAGCCAAGAGTGAGTTTATGGATAATAACCAGGTCACCATTTGTTGCCATCTCTTTCTCACAAATCTGCAGAACATAACAATTTCGGAGAAAGTCATTACGCCTCTTGAATTTGTCGGAATTCATCAATCGCGTAGAAGTCCAAAAATTGTAGGAAAGTTACCAGTCATTAGCAGCCTGAAGGAACTTTCAACTATAGTTGCAATTGGATGGAAGATTTGTTGACCTTGGTAAAGGCAAGAAAATGGAGGCAATACCTGGCCAATAAGCTGACTTCATATGGTTTCAGTCACTGCACTATGAAGGCCAAATCCGTGGCTGCAATCTGACATATTTGATTAAAAACAGATCAAATCAGCAGCTCAACCAAATCAGATTCAACCTTTCAAGAAAACCAGTGGCCATTCCAGTCATGAAACACAAGCTAAAAGAAGTGCAATAATATTAATTTCATATGGGCCAAGACATTGTGAGACTCCCTCGATTGAGTTAGCTGAGAATTACTTCCTTTGCCGAATGGGTACTATAGCTAAGGTAAGTTTGTTAGTCGGAAAAATTAAATCAGGAAGGTTATTTTAGTCACTCCATTAGTAAAACATCAATGAGGTGTTGTTGCTCAATAGAACGAAAGGTTGTGCCAATAGTCATTCCCTTCTCTATACCCATTTTATCCTAATCAGACTCAGACAACCTAAATGCTTACATGTCATGCCAATAGGCATTCCCTTCTCTATACCCATTTTATCCAAATCAAATTCAGACAACCTAAATGTTATGTCATAACTTGAGCAAATTATTAAGTTATCTCAAGTTGAAATGGCCTTTGTGCGCTTAATTTTTTTTCCAAAAAAAACTTGATGGTTTAACTTTTTATGGAAGGAAATTTTTCTATATGTTTTTATACATTGAAATTAAATTAATTTTATTTTTAAATATAAGTTGAGTTTTTAACATATTATTTTTATAAATTTTTTAGGCTAAATTACCAAAATTAATTATATGATGAGCATAAAAATATTTTTTTATCTCCTAAATGTTTTTTCAAGACAGACAAATGAAAGACTTTTATGTGCGAGTCATATAACTAATTATGATGGTTTAATTTGAAAATTTTATAAAAATATAAATTAAAAATTTAACATATATTTAAAGATAAAATTAACTCCATTAAAAATATAAAAATAAATTAAAAAACTATCTTAATAAAGACAAATTTAACTATTAACTCCAAAAGTAGCATACCATTACTTTCACATTTTCCAAAACTTATTCTTCTTTTATTACTCTTAAATTCAAAAAAGAATTAATAAAACAATTTAAAAAAAACGATGGTTTACTGTTCCAAACATTGTTTACACACTCACATTTCAATATTCACATACTCACATTTTACTATTTCTTTCATTATTCATGTCTTTTTTACACTTTGGTTTCTAATATTTTCGAACGATTATTTTGATCCATATTTTCATTTGCTCATCCATTTTGGTCCCTTGGTGTAGAGAGAAGAGAGGGGGAAGAGAGAGACGGAAGGAGAGAGACATCGTCGGCCAAGCTTATGTAGGCCACTTTGGCCCGCAAAAATCCACTAGCTTTTTTTTATCTTTAAGAGATGAATTTGTCCATGATTGTTTCAAGCTATTAAACAATTAGAGAACGTAGATCGAGCCAAAAAAGAAAAAAAGTTTCGATTTGATTATGTATTTTTCTTCGTTTTAATGTATATTAAAATGATTTTTAAGGTTTTAGATTTGTTTATTGACTTTATTTCGGTTATTTAGAGGTGTTTGGAAAAAAAATGATGCTGGAATTCAATTTGTAGAGGTTTGAAACTTAACCCTCGATTTTTCGACGACAATTCCGATGAAATTGAGTTCGTTAGGAGTTTCAATTTTTTTTTTTTAATTTTTCTGAAGTGCAACCTGGTTGGCTTAAGCCAACCAAGCACATGTCCTCCTCTCGTTTTTTTTCTCTTCCTTTATATATATATATATATATATATATAAATTTTAAAATAATAAATTATTTAATAATTAAAAAAAACCAAAAGTGATAATATTAAAATAAACCAAAACTATCATTAAAAGAAGAAAAAAGAAAAAAATATATTCTTTTATTTGAATGAATAATATTAAAATAAACCAAAACTGTCATTAAATGTAATTTTAAATTAATTGGATGAGAATTTGAAAAAAAATGACAAATTAAAGTTATATATTTTAAATAATAAAAATAATTAAAAAAATACTAAAATAAAATGAGACTAAATCATAATACAATTAAAGTTCAAATTTTAAAAAATAAATTGTATAGAAAATTTTATATATATATTTCAAACTTCAATTGTATTGTAATTTACTCGCATTTTGTTTTAGTGTTTTTTATTGATTATTTTTATTATTTAAAATTTACTACTTTAATTTGTCATTTTTTAAAAATTTTCATCCATTTAATTTAAAATTACATTAAAATATTTAAAATATTTTTTCACCTTTGATTTCATGTATTTTTATACATTCACACCATAAAAAAGACTATCAAACTGAAATAATTTTTTATATTTTATCAACTCGCAAAGATAGCGTTGGTAAAAAACCTAGTACATAAAACTAAAGTAAAACCATTGATTTGACCATTCATTCACTATTTGAAATACTATTTATACACTCATAAATCAATATTCACACACGCATAAATAATTATTTATGATATTTTTGTAACACTTTGGTTCTCAAATTTTCTATACTTTTTTTTCAATTTCAAACTATAATTGTATTATGATTTGACCTCATTCTCGTTTTAATGTTTCTTGTTAATTATTTTTATTAGTTAAAATTTACTACTTTAATTTGTCTTTGTTTTAAATTTTCATCCATTTAATTTAAAATTATACTTACCGATAATTTTGATTTATTTTTCTATATGTATGGATTTTGAAATAAAGTTTTTGAACATAATTATTTTTTCTTTTGAAAAATAGATTTGGATAATTTTTAAATTATAGTGACATGATTAATATAATAATTATTTCTGAAATATATTTTTAGATTAAAAGTGTATTTCAAATAATTTTTTCTTCGTTTTTTTTTAGAAAAAAACTCAAATTAGTTAATTAATAGTTGAAAGTCAAATGTGAAAAATAAAAAGAAGATCGTTGCTTTGCGTGTGAGGCTCGTATTCAAGGACTAACCATGCATAGCATAGAAATAAAAAATTATTTAAGAAGAAGGAAAAAAAGAAAAAGAATTCACATGTTTTATTAATTTGTTTCTTCTTTATATAATCAAAATTAATCGAAATCAAATTTGTAATTTTTTTTTGTCTATTAACTTCAAATTTAGTCAATAGATTCCTTACAAGTTAACTTTTTTTTTTATAGTATTTTTTGTTTTAGATTAAAAACTCGAACTCACTTAGTATAAACTATTGAATTGTTGTTTTTTTAGAAATTAACTTTGCAACTACTACACTAAACATTTACTATTTATTTATTTATTTTTGAATATTTTAAAATTAACTTATTTTAAATTAAATAATTAAAATTATGTTTTGGATTAACCATTCAATGATTCAAATTAATATAGTTTTTTATTTTAATATTATTCATTCTTTTGTAAATAAATATATAAAAATTAAATTTAGATTTTTTCAAAAATCGATATTCTCATCAACATTAAATAAAAATAAAAAAATTATTTGTTCAATTCTATGTAAGCTTTTAATAATCGTTATTTTTGTTTTTCGACACAATCTTATGAAATACTAAAGCTTTTTTTAAAAAAATTAATGTTTTTTTAGTTAATAATCCATGGATTAAAAAGGATAAATACTGTTTCTAAAGGAAAAATTATGAAGAACATAAATAAAAAATAGTTAAATACAAAAATTTGGATTAAAAAAATTATAAATAACTTTTTTTCACTTTTGATTTCATATATTTTTATAGATTCACATTATAAAATAGACTATCAAACTGAAATAATTTTTCTAAATAATTTTATATTTTTTATCTAATCCGCATCGTAGTGCGGATAAAAAACTAGTAAATACTATGAAAGATGCGTTGATTAGTAAGACGACCATTCATGTGTTGACTAGTAAGATGATCATTCGAGGAAGACTTGTTGCATTGCAAGATTGATCACAAAAATTCATAAGTCAACATATGTTTACTAATTAATCAGCCCAATTAATTAACCTGGTTTATTATTTAGAAACAACATTATTCGATTAGAATTTAGTTTGCTTTTAATATTCACATGTTACATGGAATTTATATAAAAAAGAGATATTTGTTTTAGCAAAAAGAATTATTTTTTTTCATATAAATAATTAAAAATTCAATTTCTAGTATTTGATTAAATCATTAGATTTTAAAGTGCTAGAATTTTAGGAAGCAAAGACCTTAACTTAATTGAATTAGTTGATAGATGTTCGCATCTAATTTGTCACTTGTTATGGCGGAGTACTACTTCATCGATCAGTGGAGCCAGCACGGACTCCAACTTTTCTCTTCTCATATAGTTACAAATATCAATGATTCCGTTTACTTTCCTTAAACCATCGGTAATATAAGTAAAATCTAATTAATACCTAGTTTGAGGGGAAAAAAAGGTAGCGAGAGCTTTGCAACTTAAAACTGTGATTAACATTAAGTTATATTATTATTGAAAAAAAAAACTCAAATAAGCCCAAAGGTTCCTATGCGAGAATCTCAAAAACAGAAAAAAGGGCGAAAGCTTAGCCCATTGCAATAAGCATTACTTTTATTTTTTCCCCGAACAAACACATATACAGAGAGGATTAAGTCAAAGAAACACTGTTTATTTAAATGTATTGGTTGTTTAGCATGTGGCTGATCCATCTACCTGGAGTTTGCCCTCAAAGTACGTACGTATTTCCATATGGAAAACAAAAACAAATAAAATTCAACAATATTAAGATCAAGTGAAATGTATATATAAAATTTTCCAGCATTAATCCAGTGAATTTCACTGAAAGTAGTACTGTCATGCCATATCGATTTATCGTTTTAAGTTATTGGAAAAAAAATTAAAATTCTGTTTTAAATTGTAGATATAAATCAATATTTTAAACTCGGGCAAACATGATCCGCATCACACAGACAATGACTAGTTTGGAATAAACTAGAAATACTGTTTATTTGAATTTATTGATGTAAAGTATGTGGCTGGTCCATCCATCTGAAGTTTGCCCTCAAAGCATTTCTATACAATAAACAAAAACAAATAAAAAAATAACCAACAAATAATATCAGAATAAAATCACGTGGAAAACTACATTATTATGTCAGAATCATTATATTTTATTTCATATTTCCTATGAATATTGGTTTAATTTACGAATAATGTGGGTATACGAAGTGTATCTACGTACTACCCCTTTCAATTAAGCCTAATATTTAAAGAGAAAAAGTGGGGTGAAAAAGCAAGAGGCAAAACTAACAGCTAGAGAGATAGCATTTCACGTCAATCTATGTGGTCATCAGCAGGAACACAACATTAGACGTGGATTTCCGAGCCCCGCCTCTGATTGCTCTTCTTCCGTATATATTTTAACATTGAACACCTTACCATCACATCAACAACAGCAACCATTCCTCTTTTTCTCTTATCTGCTTTTTCTTTTGCACCAGCAGGGGCATGTACATCCTCTTAGTTTTGGTATCAAAAATTTAACTGTTTTCACTTTCTTACGTCCCATGTCCAACTGATCACTTATAATGAAGAGAGAGAAAGAGAAAGAGAGAGCTAGGGTTGTGCGCTTTGTGGCTTGTGTCTATGCAGCTGGTTTGATAGCTTTGCTTTATTCGTTCTATCAAGGCAATAGTCTTGGTCCTTGCAAAAGCTAGGGAAAAAAAAAATCCTTGATTCCGTTCTTTTTATACTAGACCGCGGAAACCCAGTTGGGTTATAATACTATACGCCATGTAGTATGTAATCATCAGCTTGGAAGATTTGTGCAATTTTAATGGTAACTTTCAGTAATTGGTTTGCTTTGGAGAGTGAGAGGGGCAAACCAATCAAAACAAAAGGTTCAAAAGTGTTGCGACTTCTTTTGACCGAGTAGGTTTAAACTTTCATTATTCTTCTTACGAAATTATACAACACTTCTCTAACAATTGGATTTGGTTGAAAATGGAATTGCATGGTTTTGAGTGGGATTCTTGGCGTTTTCTTGGATTCTTTGTTGTTTTTCACATCACACCCAACAAAAAAAGGATCACAAATATGTAGTACGTCCTTTCCACATAATTAAGAAATCATTAAAACTGTTATGTGATGGCAATCCTCTCTCTCTCTCTTCATGCACACCATATCTTAGGTGGCATTTAGTATTAATGTAGTAAGAAACCGTTTTTTAGGGAAGTGAAGGCTGAAAAGAAGTACGAACCTTCCAGATACAATTAATGTAACAAACAGTTTTTTAGGGAAGTGAAGACTGAAAAAGAATTGCGAACTCCGCAGATACATCACCTAAAAATATGAGACAATAAGGAACTTTCTTGGAAATCAAGTTTTAATAAATATATAGATAGCTAGCAGTATGGAAAGCATGCGAAATGGGAAGTATCTGTGGCAAAGAGGTATAGAATTCTGGAGCAGAGAGCATTGAATAGCTCATTTGATTAAGAACATGGCTATTTAAACCTTTTGGCAAGAATGGAAGATTTCAAGCTTTCGTAAATAAGAGAGAGTCAATAAAAAATCATTTCCTAGGATCTCATCCAACATGGTTTTTTTGACATAAATATACTTGCGTTGAGCAGTTACGTAATACTGAGATGGATCTGAGGTACTCTACTGTAACTTCAATGTCCTTACCGTGCTGTTTTTCCACCTTTTCCTTGCTAGTTTCGGAGACGAGACACTCACAATGTAGTGACCAGATGATCATATGTTGTACACTAGCTAGCTTAATGAGTTTCGATCAAGATCAATTAAACACAAGAAATAGAAAACAAATTCAAGCTTGAACATATTCATGTAAGGTACAACGTTCAAGGAAACATGCAGCAATATTAATAGCCATTTATCCACTGCTCATCAGATGTACAAGTTTACTTTTATTTTTCTTTATTTGAAGATTAACCCTAATTGGGAAATTTTGCATAAATCATACAAGTTTAAGATTTCAATGAACTAGAGATGATGCTATATGCATGAAGAACAATACAAGGAAAATAAGTCATTGTGATAATAGTTCAGCATGTCTGATTACAAAACCTCATGACCTCACACGCACAACTTGTAAACAAGCCATACAATACAGACCAAAACCATTACCCAAACAAACGAAAATTAAAACCAAAACAAATTGTTCTACCAATATTTCTTGGTTCACAATGGGACAATCGTATTGATCAGATAGGTTCTCCATCGGGTTGGAACTTGCAAGTCAAGGTAGTACTTCAGTAGAAGATTCATGCACTTTGTGTCAATTACTAACTATTTTACTTTAGTAATAAGCTTCATGGTGCTGATAATTGTTTCCTTTCGATCAAGAGATCAATATCTATCATAAGAAATGGCTAGTGGAAGAAGAGTTGAGACCTGATAAATCTGTCCAGGTATTTCCACTCCAGTAGTACTGATTATTTTCTGGGATGCCCAAATATGGCTTTGATAAATTTAACCCTTGGTTTCCTTCTGGCTTCACAGGAGCTAACTGAGAAACCCTAGAGCTCGAAGTCATAGATCGAATCTGGCTATCCCCAGTAATTCCAGCTGGTGTTTCAGCACCTTCACTTTGAAATGGATATAAACCTGTGGGTGGAGGCTCAAAGAAAGGATATTGTTGCACTCCTCCAGCTGATAACATGGCATTGCTACTCATTCCTGAATTGCTTCCTATCTGAAATCCCATGTCAGTCTGTCTACTAGCACCACTCGTTGAGCCCATTTGTCCCTGTATTCCACCAAAGTTTAACCCAATGTTTCCCACACCAAATTGAGTCAGATTATGTAAAGAGGTCATGAAGGGTAATTGAGATTGTTGTTGAGGCAGATGACCCAAAATCTGTGACGGAAGTTCACTTGTGGAACTGGGAGTTGAACCACCCATTTGCCTTTCACTGGAAACTGGAGATTTTGAGCTACTTTGGCTTTTGGTTTTCTTGTTTCTCCGGCATCCACCTCCCACGGGAACACTTCTAAGGGCACCACCTCTAGTCCAGTATCGCCGACAGGTTTTGCAAAAGTGACGGGGCTGAGAGAGGCTATAGTTATTGAAGTAGCAAAATTTGGTGTTTGTAGATTCACACCTTGGGCACTTTAGAGCTGCCTCTGGCTGAGGTATCTTGGCCAACCGAGCTCGATCAGCCATCGAACCAGGTCTAATTGTGCCAGCAGTGCCACTACCACCAAGATGAGGGGGCGGAGGAAGAGGTGGAAGCTGTGGACTTTCATTGCTTGCTCCTAGTTGCTGACTTGATTGTTGCTGCAAGATTGAAAAATTCAAGGGTTGCTAACATTATTAAAGAAAAAAATTACATCTGGTATATTCAATAAAAGATAACAAAGGAATGGGAATAATTTGCTTTTTGATATGGTTCCTTTTCTTTTGGGGTGGGGGTGGGGAGGTTAAAGAAGTTATGTGGATGGAAATTGAAGAAAACATTACCTGATGCCAGTTGGGAGGATCTAAATAGACTGGAACTGAAGAGAACACCATGGTTTTGATATAGCTTCTTCTTTAATAAAGGTTGATGGGTCTTTAGGAAAGAAAATAAGGTGGAGAATCGGACTAAGAGAACACCAGATCAAAGAAAGGAAAAGAGAAGAGAATTAAAGGGACGGTTTGAAGGAAAGATAGAGGAGGCTTTTGCTTATTATTTTTTTTTCCTGCTTTATTCTCTCATTCTCATCTCTTTTTGTTTTTTTTTATAATTTTAGGGTTTGAGCTAGTGGACGAAGTTTCTTCGACTATAAGCTTTCTTTAAATTTGTGATGCTGTGTACTGTCTCTTTGATTGTAGTGCTCAAAAAGAGGGTTGTGACTCATGCATGGAATTGGGAGAGAGAAAGATGAAAGCAAAATTATCAGTGTCTGTCCATTGTGGTGGGATCAGCGCCCCACCACGTAATTAAAATTTCTAATTTTGGAGCGCTGCAACTTCAACTATGATCCTGCCATGGGTTATTTGGTGCATGGCCTAAGCGAGGAACACTAGCTACTCTTGCCATATGGTTAATCTTTCCACATAACGGCAAGGCAAAAACTTGAGCTATCGCGTGACTATCAACTTATTAATCTATAGAGAAGTGATTGCTGGTGTTTTTATCAAGTTTGTTTGTTTATTTATTTTAAAGCCTATGAATATTATTGGATTTGGATCTTGATCTCAACATTAAATTTGAATTTTATGATTTAGTTTTAGGCGAGAGAAAAAATAATCAGAAGTTAAAGTGATATATATATATATATATATCATTTCTAACATGACTAAAACCGTCTTCATTTATTTTGAATTTAATTGTTTAAATTTTTTTAAAAAAACATAACTGAATATAATTGAAAACAACGTGAGAGGATCTCAATCTAATAATATTATTATCATGATATTCATTTAATTAAATGGCATTATGAAGTATTATACTTGGAAAATATTTTCTAATTGTTTGAGCATTGGCTTTAATAAAAATAGTATATACATTATGGGCAAACCAGACTGTGGTGCTCTTAAATCGAACATAGATGGTTCCTTTATGGGCAAAATAAGGTTCTTCAGGATCCGAGGAGTGCTTGAAGATTACAAGCGTCATTTTCGCTGCATTTTTTCTTCTCCTATAAGTATAAAAGAATCAAATGAAGCTGAAGTTCTCACGATAAAAAAAACTCTCGAGCAATGTGAATCTGATTGTTGAGTTCTGCTGGTAATTGGGTTAAGGCCAATGTGAAATCCAGGCCTCGGAGATTACACAACATCTTCAATTGTATTTTTGTTTTAATTTGTAAGTTAGTCAGTGTCAGTTTTAAGCATGTCAAAAGGAAAAAGAATTTAATTAGTGGCTGGATAATCTTGCTAAGATGTGTTTAATTATCTAGAAAGGAAGAGTTCATTACTTGGCTCTAATTTTTTCCTCTCTCTTCGATGGCCATCTTCTTGCTAGCTATGTTTCTTCTCTCCTCTTAATAAATCATCGATTTAAAAAAAATAAAAAATAAAAAATTTGATACATTAATTAAACATGAAGCACTAGTCTTGCATTAGAATATCCGATTAATTTCTTGATCAGCAATTACACAATGGATGCGCTGTCAAAATAGACATATTAATGCTTTTCCCATATTGACAATCGACGATATACAAAGCAAATAGTAATGATTTGTCTAATTTGCACAACTTGTACTAACACGACCACATTCCTTAATCAAGAAGAAAAATATGCATGCTGATTATGATATGTTTCTTTCCCTATTGGCCAAATATATATATATATATATATATATATATATATAGTTTCTTTCCCTAACATCCCACATGCACAACTTCCATAATTCTCAACATCTTAATCTGGGAAAAGGGAGAAATGTGTGGGAGTCAACTAAATAAAGACAAACTACAAATTGATGTAGAATTCATATAATATATCGTTTAAAGATAAAAGTTAAAGACAGAAGGTTAATTTTTTTTTTTTTTTTTTTTTTTAAGCTAGAAAGTTGATGAAGATGGACACATTTAGGCCCCTTAAAATTTTAGCTAGGCATTACATAAGATAGAATATGCTACGTTTCAGTAGACACTAGGGTAGAAACAAAATAATAATAATAGTAATAATTTGTTTGATTAAAAATCCTTGTTGAAATTAATAATAATAATTAAAAAAAACTAGTAATGAAAGAAAGCAAGAACAAGAAAATATTAAATCTGCTGTAAAATTTTGCACATTTTTCTTGATCAACTTCTTAAATACATAAAAACATAACAAAATTTCAAAAATAAAAGCAAGCATGTATACACATGTTTGCATGACTAACAAACATTCTAAACCACTACCATTAACTTTTAGTAGCATTATTGATAGAAATTCAAAAACAAAACTCCTAAAAAATTGGTCAAAGATTCAAAAACAAAATTCTTAATAACTTCATCAAAGATAACATGTGTTGTTGATATGCAGCTTTGAATTCTTCTCTACGACCCCATGATCTATTGTTGTAGCCCTCAAAACATATTCTTCGAGCTACCTCATACTTGATCCTAAGTCTTGCAAACTTAATTCCACATGTTCAGCCACGTTTGCTAGCTTAGTCGTATTATGTAGTCAGTATCGGCAACTCCGCAAATTGCGATTGCCGATGCACACCTTCAACACTCCTCCTTGTATCAGCTTGGTGCAAGTTATGAGTTTCTCTTTAGAAACCCAAACTTGTTTCTTGGAAGAGCCTTTGTGATGATATTTGTGAGTTGATTTTTAGTTTTGCAATACTTTAAACACGCATAACCATCTTTCTATATTTCTCTAAAAAAATAATTTAATATTAAAATGCTTTGTTTTTTCATGGAAGACGGGATTGTTAGAGATATTTATAGTTGCTTAGTTGTCCACCATCACCTCGGTATATATCACTTGCTCCAAGTGTAAATCAATTAGCATTTTTCGTAGCTACAAGGCATGATTAATAGCCGTTGTAGCTGTAAAAAATTCAACTTCAATTGTTGATTATGCAACAACCTCTTGCTTTTTAGAGCACAATGAAAATACGTTTGATCCAAGGCTAAAACAATAACTTGATGTGCTTTTCATGTCATCTAGAGACCCCGTCTAGTCATCGTTAGGGAAACCTCGCGGGTTGAAATTCTAACTTGTACCGAATGTGATACCATAGTTCAAAGTTCTCTTGACATATCTAATAATTTTTTTGTCGCCTTGAGGTGAACTTCACTAGCACAGACTCATAGACCTTGATAGCACACCCACAACATGTAAGATATCTAGTTTTGTTGCTGTGAGATACATTAGACAACCAATCAAGCTCCCGTAGAGTGTTTCATCCACCCGTTCAGCTTCGTTATCCTTGCTTAACTTCTTCTTTAGACACATTAGAGTGCTCATGCTCTTGCAATCCTTCATATTGATTTTTTTTATTATTTCATTTACATATTTTTATTGACGAGATGAAAACCTCATCCTTTTTTATTTGATCTCCATCCCAAAAAAGTAAGTCATCTCTCCTAGATCGATCATCTCAAAAGTATGCATCATATCTTTTTTGAACTGTTGAATGAGTTCAACATTGTTACTCGTAACTAAAAGGTCATCCACATAGAAGGAAATAACTATAAAATTTGATTGATCACCTTTGACATACAAGGTTAATTCATTAAGGCTTTTGATAAAGCGAACTTCAACAAATGCTAATCAATTATAATGTATTAAGCCCTTGGCGTTTGTTCCGGACCATACAAGGCCTTCTTGAGTAGATAAACCTTATCATCCTGCCTTTTTGTTACAAGGAATTCAGGTTGCTCAACATAATTTTCTTCTTTAGAATTCCATTCAAACAAGCTAATTTTACATCAAGTTCGGTAGATTTCCCCTCTTATGTGCTACAATGGCTAACAACAATCTAATTGTATCTAACCTTATAATAGGAGCAAATATGTTAGAAAAATCTATAACAAAGATTTAAGCATACCTTTCACCACTAGTCTTGCTTTATATTTGTTAATCGAGCCATTTGCATTTAGCTTTATCTTGAACGCCCCCTTAACACCAATTATGTTTTTGTTTTTAGGTCTCTCTATAAGCTTCTAAGTCTAATTTTTTTCAATTATATTGAGCTCCTTATGTATTGGAGCTCTCGTTTGAGATCTTTTTCTACTTCCCAATGCCCTACAAGCTCAATGAATGCTACATTGTATATGTCATAAATATTAAAAAGCAATCTAGTCCTTATTTTCATCTATAAAATTATCTTGATCTTGTAAAAGATCGAATTTGAGTTCTTTTTACATCATCATAGCTTCACTCGCTTATGTTCCATGAAATATACATCTCTTTTTATCAAAATTTTCCTTCTATAAGGTTGAAAAACTTTATAAGCCTTTGAAATTATGTTGTATCCCACAAAGATGCTAGGCTCGACTTTCTTGTCAAGCTTGTCTCTCTTGATCCGTGGCATGTAAGTGAAACACAAACATCCAAACACTTTAAGGTTTTTTAATGAAGGCTTAAATCCATACCGAGTCTCAAAAGAAATCTTTCAATTTATAGTTTTAGTGGGAAGTCTATTCAGCAAGAACACTACAAGGTGTTTGCAGCTTTTGCAAATATTCCTTAGGCAACCCTTTCTCATGAACATGCATCCGATCATTTCCATGATCATCTTATTCTTTTTTTTTACATTGACTCCATCTTGTTATAGAGTGTATGGAGTTGTAAATTGATGCTCAATGTTTGCCTCCTCACAAAATAGGTTGAATTTTTTTAACGTGTACTCCTTACCATTATCACATCTTAGAACTTAGATCTTATAGTAACTTTGATTCTCAATCCACTATTTGAATCTCTAAACATAATTAATACCCCTAACTTAAACCCGAGGAAATAAATCCAACATATTCTAGTGAAATCATCTATAAAAGCTATGTAATATCTATTATCTTTGAGACCTCAAAGGTCCAAGCAAAATCTTTATGAATTAGTTACAACCTCTCTATTACTCTTT